TGAAAGATTTTTTAAAGAAGTCACTTCCTGTTTTATTCCGTGGCAAATTGTGATAATGATACCTTGATTTGTTTGTCTTTCATTATTGTATTGTTAATACTATTTGTTTTATTTAATTATAAATGTGATAATAATTTTTATTTAAGTAAAAAAAATTGTTTCGTGTTATTGCATTGTATTTTGAGTTGCGCGCATCGTGTTATTTGTCTAATCGTATATTTACTAAATGAACCAAAGGCCTCAAAATACAAGTAAATTTATAATTGTGAATTCAAGCCTCTTTGCTAATTGTTGAATTTCAGTTTAAAAATGCCTATCCTTTATCCCTTTTGAATTTCAGTTTAATAATGTATCTATTTCTTTTCATATTATTGTTATGATAGCAACAATAGTATATTTTTCAGCTCATATACATAGTCTAAAAATAAACATAAACGAACATTTCACAATATAAATCTATATTTTGTAACAATTATTAAATTAATAAGATATATATATATATATATATATATATATATATGGAGGCTGTAATCAAATAGTTTGCTGGTCAATGCCTTAAAACATTGAACCAAATTTTACTGATTTTTTTTATAGTTCTTTATCATTCCAGATACCCCAACTTTGTTTGGATCCCAGATAGGTGCTTTTTAATTCTAGGAGTTTGGTTCTTGATTACGAAAGGTCATATATATCAACCTCAACAATGGAATGATTCGTTAAGATTATCAGGGTGTGTGTGATTAAATATAAATTTAATTGTGTATTGATTGAATATTTTTGTTTAATCATAGTTAATATTGAATGAAATTTTGAGTGTATATTAAAATAATATCTAAAATAAAATGGTTTAAGTTGATTTGATGTAAAAGTAAGAGAAAAGTGATGTGTAGTCAAAATTATGTGAATGGATGAATAGTGAAATAAAATTAATGTGATGTGTAAGGATAATTAATTGATATTATCTAATTATATTATTAATAGTGAGAAATAATGAAATTAATTTAAAATTAAATTAAAGAAAGTATTTGAACAAAAAGTGATTGGATATTTCTAGGCAAAACCATGTCCAACCACCCATTTAATAATTTTCTTATTAATGATTGCTTTTAGAGACTTTTCACATTGATTAATAAGGGGTGAAATTGGGTATTTTAGCAGTTTTCTAATGGGATTCTCCATAAATCACATCTCTTTTAGGAGCAGATAAGGTTCCATGTTAGCTTAATGTCACAAAAAAGATTTTGTTAAAATAAAATGGATAAATATCTTAGTTGGTGGCCTATTTGGCCTCGTGACACAATATGGGAGTTTGGATTTGTAGTCACTATTATTGCAATTGTGTCTCTAATTACACCTTGCTGATATAAACATGACACCGACAAATATAATTAACACAACAATCTATCATAAGTGCACACTAACATGAAATTATGGAACACAACAAAATTTTACTGGTTTTTCACTTTTTCTCATAAAATCAATAACTTCTCTATATAACTATATTTCCAAAAAAATATATATATAATAATGGAGAAGTGAAACTGAAAAGAAGAGCCAATCGTCTTTCACCTAACCACTGTTCTCATAGGTCCGGCAGTAACGCGTCCATGTCGTTTACTTAAGTATGAATGCGATCTTTGTTGATAATAATTATTCATCCATTTTTTTAATATATATATATATATATGGCACATCATATGACAAAAACTAGTTTGAAAATCCAACTGATTTGTATTGAGTTGATCAATATTTGGCTTTGTACTAATTATTTTTCTATCACTATAATTCATGATTTATCACAAAATTATGTTGTACGACAGTTTAACCACGTGTCCTATTTTTTTTATGCAACACAATTTTTTTTTTTGAGCCATCACAAATTCTGTTATGAAGACTATTAGTCGTTTCAATTTGTCGTATTTTTTTAACCGAAATGTATACTTATGTTATAAATGTTATATTTTTCTTTATAGAAATTTTCAGAGAATGATATTTTCGTTTGAAAGTATGTATGTTTGTTAATAAAGTATAGTTGTCTAACATTTTTAAAGTATAACATTTATTTGAAAATACTTATATTTGTTGATAAAGTATAATTGTCTGACCGCAGTCTTACTTGTTGAACAACTATTTAAAAATGTCATATTATTATTTACGTTAGAATATATTATTTTATGATATTTATTTTATGAAATATATCAATTTATTGAACGAGTATATATAGTCTTCTAACGATTATTTTTTTTTTATTATATTTGTTTCTCTTGAACACTATTACTTGGATGAGACAACAAAAGCACATTAATCCGATCATATTGTTGTAATTAAGCCATATCAACTATAGTAAAGCACCCAACAATGATTAATCTGAGTTTTGACTTTATTCCCTACAAAAAATATATTGTCATCTTTGCCCAAAGTAGCACAAGAAGATAAATAGCCGTGTATTCTCTTCACTTGGTTGCCTATTTATATACAACTGATTTATTTATTTCTTATTACATATTTAATTTTCATATTTCCAACATGATTTGATACTACAGAAATAACAAAAATGGATGGATGTATTATACTTAGCACACTGTTGTCAAGAAGCTCTTCAATATTCAAAGAGAATTAATTTACAAAAGGATCAAAACTCACTCATATATGGAAATCAAGCCAATTGGCCTGACAATTCAAGTCTATTAGCATACTATAGTTTGAAAATTGACATATCAAATAAATGCAGTTGGATATAATGTATATCTATTAAAAAAATGTGAAGAATGTAGGTTTATTAATACATAAATTTATTAATATACTAACCTAAAATTGAAACAGGGGGTAGGGCGGGCCGGGCGACCGCCCAGGGCCCTAGTTACCCCAAGGCAAAATTTTTAATATATATGTACATATATATATATATTAATTATATAATAAAATATTGAATATAAAATTAATCTTAAATCTTAATTTTTTTATTCTTTACAAAAGTCTTTTCATATTTTATTCACCTTATAATATTCATGATAAATTAAATTATAGATATTATTAGTGAAATTAATAATTTTTTCCATTCTTTTATATGGTTTGTTAATCTTTTCTTCTTGCTTAGATATACAAAATGTTATTTTATGATTGTACAATTCAATTATGTCCGTGATAGTCAATAAAAGAGTTAAGTAAAGTGAACTTATTTTCTGACGAGTTCCAATTTAGATTTGTTATTTAACTTTGTTAAATATAACATAAAAACTAATACTTTCCAATAAAAAATCTATAAATTATAACTAAGTATTATGTACTCCACTAAACTTAACTTATATATTTAAATAAAGAAAGTTTGGAGTTTTGGCTGTTTTTTTTTTTTAATGAAAAGGTTTTTCTCCTTTATTTTTATTTGTGATTCTTAAGAAATTTCTCAAATTATATTCACAAAATTTGGCTATATATTTATTTTAAATTGCACTGCTTTTATTATAGCGAGTTACATAATTTTATTTTCATTTTTGTTAACTAAAAAAAATGAAATAACTAAAGACAATATACGGAACATTTCGTCAAGGGCCTTATAAAGCCGAGGACCGGCTTTGAATTGAAATATCAAATAGGTAGATGGGTATATATGTATGCATGCATGTATGTATGTATATTCAAAGTCGAGATCATTATGAATCATTTTAAAGAAAATTTCTTATTAAAACAAATAATTTACTACAACTTGAGGTTATTATTATTTTTTGAAACATGCAAATCTTATGTGATCAACCTTATTTTACACGAACGAAGACTCTTAATTTTCCTTGCTTTATGATGCAAATTATATTGTGAAAATACACTTCACTAGTCAAAAAGGGTGACCAATAAGATGATACAAATAAAAAATTACATGGTAAGTGATAACAATACAAAAATAAATAAATAAAGTAATAGTGACTTTAGATGTTTGGCAGTTATTATTTCCACACATAAATTTAAGAAAATATAATTAAAACCGCAGGTTGACGTTATCAGCCGTGCCGATTGCCGGATAATGAGGCAGTGACGTTGATTCATGCATCTCTCTTTTATTTTATTTACTTTTGTCTAAAAAAATATTTAAATTAAGTTGATATATTGTATGTATAAAAATCTTACATTTATAAATAAAAATAAATATATCTATGAGTTTTGATTTAAAAGTTTGTGAAATTATTGTTAATTCAACTAAAAGAAATCTATTAATGAATTGATATTATTGATATGAAATGCACAAATTCTTATGTGAAACAACATAATCGTTAAAATGGTACATGTATCATACATTTGCAACAAAAAATGTATACTTATGTTGTGAAATGTCATATTTTTTTTAATATTATTTTTAATAGTATGCTATTTTAATTTGAAAGAATGTTTATTCATAAAATAAAATGATTGGCAAAACCCAGAGTCTCAGTAAGATTAGTCTTACTGCATGAATTTATGTATGAAATGATCTAAAAAATTATTATTTTATATTAACAAGTAAATAAACAAATAAATGTCCTCCCTCTATTGGCTTTGGTGGTCATAGGAGAATTGTTTAATCATCACCTAAAACATAAATCAGCCACATATTCATATGATCATATCTTTCTTTTTATTATCCTAAAAGTTATAGCAATTGCAAAATTGTTATTGATATATAATTGTACATGTGTGATTGGATGGGATAGCACAAGTTGTATTGTGGATTACACATTGCACATTAAAAAAAATAGAAAGAGGATTAGGAATTTGATGTTCCTTGCAGGATCGAAATTGATTATTTTAAAACCTGGATTCCACTTGCCAACAAAAACCCTTGCTATTG